TATTAAGCCAACAACCCAGGAATGGAGATGTCTCTGATTATTTGTGTCCTTAGTTTATTGTAGCAGCATCTAGTGGTTTTCATTTTGTATCCAGCCTTAGTGGCATGTCTCCATCATTTGACCCCTTGGCTGCACTGGTATCATTGTCATCTCGCCTCGGGCTCATCGCCCCAGGTCTTCTGTGGTGATGGTATATCCACTACCCACATAGGAGCCCAAGCCCACTCCTCACTCTCCTGTACACCCGCTCAGGCCCTGGGGCTGGGGACACCTCAGAGAGCTGCTGTCAAGTGCAGAGTCTGTGAACCTGAACTGGGGCTTGGCATCTCCTTGTGGCTTGTGTCCCTTCACTTAATCCTAATGGAGACTCTAAGCTATGCTGTAGAAATAGGGGCCTTTTTTTTTTTTTTTTAAGATTTTGTATATGTATACGTGTATGTGAGTACCCTATCTTCATGTACACCCGAGTGCCAGAAGAAGGCATCAGATCACATTATAGATGGTTGTAAGACACCACATGGTTGCTGGGAATTGAACTGAGGACCTCTAGAAGAGCAGACAGTGCTCTTAACTGCTGAGCCACCCCTCCAGCCCCGCCCCCCTTAAAAATGGCTTCTCTTCCTGCAGCAGTCATGCCGTCCGTTCTTGCCCGTCCTTTCCTTCACCACACTCTTTGGGAGCGTGTTCAGGTGTCTCCTGCTTATTGTGCTGAGCTACACTCCTTCCTCCCTGCACCAGTCCTGCTTCTCTGCAACCTTCAACTTCAGGGTCCCGCTGGTCCCGGGTGCCCAGTTGTTTCCTACTGTCTTAGTGTTGTGGCTCCTTCGAAGTCCTGTCCCTACTTGTCTCTTTCCGAACTGGTCTCATTACCCTTTTATAACTGGTTCTCACTTGGGTCATAGCGAGAACTGGACTCTTGCCTGGCAAGGCCTTCATTTTTCCAGCGTAGGCCACTGCTCACGCCTCCTGTCGCCCCTGTGCCCCTCCCAGTAAGTGCATCCCCGGTGCCTCCTGCAGGAGAAAATGCTGGACATCTACTGGCTGCTGCGTGTCTGCCTCCGCACCATCGAGCATGGGGATCGCACGGGATCTCTTTTTGCCTTCATGCCTGAGTTCTACCTAAGCGTGGCCATCAACAGCTACAGCGCTCTCAAGAATTATTTTGGCGCTGTGCACAGCATGGAGGAGCTCCCAGGTGACGGGACCATTCATGAGGTGGGGAGGTGGGGGTGCAGAAAAGAGACCTAAAGAATGAATTTGGCAAGCCCTTGGTTCATTGTCATGACCCAGTCATACATCAAACGTTTGTCCTGAATTAGTGCCTGCAGGCTCAGAAGCAGCAACGGGTGCACCAAGAGCCGCAGATGGGTGGGGACCCCTCGCTCGCTTTCCTTTGCTGGAGGTGCTGGTAGCTGCTGTGACCTCACAGCCAGCTGCCTCCTCACCCTGCCACCCTGGCTGGGGCTTCATGGGAACCTTTGTCTCGTCAAGACCACTGATCCACTCCGGGCCTACTAGTGGGTGTCCAGAGTCGGCGCTAAGCTAGCGGACCCCTCCCTTCCCTTCTCCCTGCCCCCATCTTTGGTGTTACTTTTGTCTTCAAAAACAGGGCTATGGGGGACTTGGCAGGTCATCAGGTTGTTCCAAAATGAATTAGAGCCCAGGTCAGGGCTCTTGCCAGGGTCCACTCCCCGCAGTGGCTCTTCCCTTAATCCCCTCATCAGTCGCCATTGTACTATATTGCCTTGCTCAGATGCAAACATGGGTCCAGACAGGCCCCACAGTAAGCTCTGGGGCTTGCTACACAAACCTGCCCACCCTGGCCAAAGGACGTGCCTCAGAAACCCTCACTGCTGGCCAGCAGCCTCACTGCCCTCTTTTGCAGGCTATGAGGAGACCCTGACCCGCTTGGCTGCCATCCTTGCCAAACATTTCGCTGACCCACGAATCGTAGGCACTGGTAAGGTGTTCCCAGAGGGCCCTTGGCCCTGGGAGTGGGGGTAGAACGGCATGTCTGCCAAGCTGTTTTTTACCTAAGTTGTGCCCGTGTGGGCATTAGGCATGGGGTCCCAGCCCACGCTGGGGACTTGCTGAGGCAGAGCTTACCCTGACAGACATTCGAGACTCGCTGATGCAGGCCCTGGCCAGCTACGTGTGCTACCCACACTCCCTGCGTGCTGTGGAGCGCATCCCCGAGGAGCAGTAAGTAGGAGCCTGGGGGCCACATACCCCACTCTGTACAGCACCATGCCCAGCCTCACCCTGAGCCTGCCATCCCTCCCCGACATAGGCGTATCGCCATGGTGAGGAACCTTTTGGCACCCTATGAACAACGGCCCTGGGCCCAGACCAACTGGATCCTAGTGCGGCTTTGGAGGGTAAGCCTGAGCTGAGGGCAGTGGCTAAGGCCAGCAGGAAGATCACCCTGCCCCTCTGATGCCTGCTGTTTCACCCCCCAAGGGCTGTGGGTTTGGATACCGCTATACACGGCTGCCACATCTGCTGAAAACCAAACCAGAGGATGCCAATTTGCCCAGCCTCCAAAGTGAGTATTCAGGTTGGACAAGTCCTAGTGGTAGCCCTAGATGAGCTGGTAGCCCTCTCCTGCTCTCTCAGTGTTGGAGACTCCTGTCTCTCTAAGCCTATTTCTGGACTGTGTCAGGCTCCTTACCTTTCCCTTGGGCTCCATCTGTCCTACTGCCTCCGAGCCCAGGGACAAGGCCTTTTGTTCTCCTGGAACTTGTAGTGAAGGGCTAACAGTGAAGGGGACCATACCTCTCCAGCTTGCTGGCAGCTCTTGTCAGGTAGGTACACACTGTCCTCCTTGCCCTCTGCCAGCTTCCTTACCCCTCTAGTGTATCTTCTTTGTCATCTTCTGGCCATGGACCCTTGGCTCAAAAGGGGCACAAGCTAGAAACTGATCAGGACCCAGAGTGAGCTACAGATCTGGCTAGGAACAGGCTGTGCTGTCTCCTGTGCCTACCAAAGTCTCCTTAGCCCAAGGGTCTTCACCTGGGCCTGGACAGGACCTTGGGCTGTGCAGCTTGCAGAAAGAGCTTGCTGCTTTCCTTATCTTGCTCACCAGTGTTTCTGCCTTTGCAGCCAATGTCTTGGTCTCTGGGTGTTCCCAGGGAGGCCTTGGTAGACTCACACAGCAAGTCCTTGTTGAATGCCTTCATCTGGGCTCTGGGACGGAGCTTAGCTGCAAGCGGGGAGGGGCAGTGGGGCCAGATACCATCCCTGTGTGCAGGAACTATTGATTTGCCTCGGAGGGTTGGAGAGGTATGTCGGGCCAGCTACAGCTGAGAGCTCTGGTTACTGCTGCCCTTCCAGCCCAGACTTGGCGCTCGCGCACCACCTAAGCCATATGCCAAGGCCAGGCCAAGGGCAGCAGAGGACAGCAGGACAGAGTCTGGGCTCTTCATGAAACTGGCCTTGATACTAGTGGGAACACTCTAAGATGTCTTGTCTGTACCTGACATCCTCAAACAGGCATGTGACTCAGAACTTGCTCCAGGTAAGGCCAGCAGCCCTCTGGCTGCTCCAGGCCCATGGGGTATGGTGGTGCTGGGGACCTGCAGCCCTGTGGCTTCCCAGCAGGAGGGAGACAGGCTCGCTCCTCAACTCCCAAGCAGTGCTGTGGCCTCTTCCTCTACCTTCATGAGCTGAGTATTCTTAGGGAGCCTTCTTTTTGTCCTTAAAGCAGTGGTCCAGTGGAGGGTCCCATGTGGGAGTCCCTGTTAACACTGCTTTGCTCTGCCCCAGAGCCCTGCCCTTCCACCCTGCTGCAGCAGCACATGGCTGACCTACTGCGACAAGGCCCCGACGTAGCACCCAGCTTCCTCAACAGTGTCCTCAACCAGCTCAACTGGGCCTTCTCGGAGTTCATCGGCATGATCCAGGAGGTGGGCTGTGGCGGGAGCCGGCATGTTGGGGCAGGGGTGGGCCGAGGACAAGGCCCGGCAGAATGGCAACCTGCCTGCTGCTGGCTTAGATCCAGCAGGCTGCTGAACGCCTAGAGCGGAACTTCGTGGACAGCCGGCAGCTCAAGGTGTGCGCCACCTGCTTTGACCTGTCGGTCAGCTTGCTGCGGGTCTTGGAAATGACCATCACCCTGGTGCCCGAGGTATTCCTCGACTGCTCCCGCCCTACCTCTGAGATGCTGCTCCGACGTCTCGCACAGGTATGCCCGTCTGGGCAAGGAGGGTGGGACCCTGGGGAGAGCCCTGGTGCCGTGCTTGCCCACCCACCAACAGGCTCCCGCCTTCACAGCTGCTGAACCAGGTGCTGAACCGGGTGACAGCTGAGAGGAACCTGTTTGACCGTGTAGTCACCCTGCGGCTGCCTGGTAAGGATCTGGATGCCCCTGTGCCTCGGCACACCAAGGCCTTAGCTCCTCTGCCTGGAGCAGCCGGGCTAGCCTCTCCATGCCGTGCCAGGGCAGCACGCTGGCCCTCCCAGCCTCAGCTTGCCTTGTGTAGGAAGAGCAGGGGGAAAGGTCAGTGGTGGCGGCCAGGCCTAGGCTCCTGCTGCAAACCCACTGTATGCGTGCCCCATCTTCCTTCCCTCCCCTTAGGCCTGGAGAGTGTGGACCACTACCCTATCCTGGTGGCAGTGACCGGCATCCTGGTACGCCTCCTGGTGCATGGTCCGGCCTCAGAGTGAGTGTTGGGGACTGTTGGCCCCTGTGGGAACCGGGTGTTCCATTTGAGGAGGGGCTGGCGGGCAGGGCCTCACTGCACCTGTGTCCTTGTCTCAAAGTGAACTTCAGAACCTAGTTTGGGATGTCGAGGAAAGGCTAGGTGGTGATGTGTAAGCTGCTTAAACAGGTGTCGGTAGCGACGGCTCTGGCTGGCTGGGAGATCTCAGCTCTCAGTCATGCCTCCTGCAGGGGCATGAATGCCAAAACTTGGAAAATGTGCCGTCCCCTGATGGTCAGGGCCACCCTGCTGGGTCAAGAGCTGCACACACAAAGCTGCCCACCTGGGAAGACCCAGCAATGAACACGGACCACTTTTATTATAAAACGCCTTAGTAGTCAGACAGAGCGGCCAGCTCATCGTGGGAGGAGTGCTGGCTCCCTTTCCCACCTGCCTGCAGTGGGGAGTAGTAGAGGCAGGAATCCAGGGTACCGCTTTAGCCATTAGGATGAGATGAGTGCCAGCCCTTCAGAGGCCTCCTGCCCTCCAGGGACCCGAGTCCCAGGTGAGTCACATACCCAGGCTTTTTCCTGCTGGGTTATGAGCCCACGGGTTGGCTCTCCCTTTAGCTGGAGGCAGCAGGGCTACTCTTGCAGGCGTGTCCTGAAGGAGGTGCGCATGCCCGCCAGACTCCACAGGGGTTGTAAAGCTTTCTGGAGGCTGGAGGGCAACAGACTGGGTCCTCTTTCAGCAGAGGAAGGGCGCATTTCCTCATTCCTCTTAGAGTGGGAGCTGGCTCTTGCGAGCTGCTTTCTCCCTCCTTGGTGAGCTCCCTGGCAGGGAGGGGAAGGTGGTATGCTTGGCTCTTCTCTACCATGCCCTGACATCGGCATTAACTCCTGAGGGTGGCCCAGGGCTCTGATGCAAGGGCTCTTAACAGATTGGCTAGGTTCCCTAATCTTACTGGGACATTTGGTCACTCTGAGATCCTAGGGGAAGCAGGCTGTAGTAGTCTGAGGCCTTGTCCCGAGCTAGGCAGAGCAAGAGGCAGGTGGGGGCCTCACCCCTTTGCCAGCGAGTGGAACTGGCAAAGTGCAGGTCAGGGCTCTCATGCAGCTGTAGGACCAGCCAGTGTGTCCGCCAGCGTCTGTCATTCTCTAGACCGCAGCAGGAGGTCTGTGGCCCGTGTGGGACACCAGGCAGTCTAGGTCATCATGAGACCCTCTGAACCTGTAGAACTGGCTGACTCGGAGCCAACCTTGAGTTGTAAGCCCATGGGGTTGCACAGATCGAAGTCCTCAGCTACTGCTAGCTGCGCTCGGCCATTGAGGCCTTTCTTGCCCGGCTCCAGGAAGACCACATGTTTGTGGACACTGGCTTTGCGGCTGGGTGCATCCGGCGGTGTGGTGCTGAGCACGGAGGACTGTGCACTCAGCTCCTGGAGCGGACTAGGTGCTCTCAGCCAGCAGCGGTTGTGGCAGGCCCGCCGACAACAGTGACAGCAGCCACGACAGGGCGGTGCAAACAGATAGAGCAACACCAGCACCAGGCCCACGATACAGCCCAGCAGTGTGGTGAAGCCTGTGTTGAAAGCCTCGGGTTCGGAGCGAGGCTTATGCACGCTCACATTGTACTCAAGCGTCTGGTTGTGGTGCAGGCGGGGCCCAGTGGCCAGGCACACAAAGATGCCCGCATGCTGCTCTTGCACCCTGCCTATGGCTAAGCTGCCATCGGCCAGCAAGACAATGCTGCCATCCTGAGAGCCGGGTGCGACAAGCAGCTCGCTCTTTGGCGAAACCCAGGCCACCCGTGCCGCGGGCACAGTGGTGTTGCAGAAGAGCCGCAGGGACTGCCCCACCTGTGCATGCAGCTGCTCCTCAGGCAGCTCTAAACCTGGAGCTGCAGCATCCGAGCAGTTCTCAAAGACCCGGCTGTGCTCAAAGAAGCGCACTCGGGATTCGGACACCTCAAAGGCTTGGCAAGTGTACTCACGTGCAAAGTCACACAGGGCGCTTAGGCCCCGCTGGTGCCAGCGCTGGAGCAGGTGGAAGAGGTGGCAGTCACAGGGCAGTGGGTTGTTGTGCAAGTACAGCCCGTTCTTGAGGAAAGCGGGCAGTGCAGCCAGCTCAGGGATGGAGAAGTGTTTCAGCCAGTTGGAGGAGAGGTCTAGAGTACGCAGGTGGGCCGTCCCCAGGCCGTGCAGGTGGTTGAAAGAAAAAGAGGAGAGTTTGTTGCAGCCGAGATAGAGATGGCTGAGCATGCCCAGGCCCCGGAAGGCGTCCAGGTCCAAATGCACCAGTCGGTTATTAAACAGAAGCAACCTCTCCAGCTCCTCCAGGCCGTCCAGATCATGGGCACGGAGCATCTTCAACATGTTAGACGAGAGATCAAGTATCCTCAGGCCACTGGCATTGCTGAACACACCGCGGCCCAGCACATCCAACTTATTGTAGCCGAGGTGCAGGGCACGCAGCCGGGAGAGGGGCGCCAACCAGCCCGGGGGGAGACGTCTGAGTGCATTGTTGCTCAAGTCGAGTTCTGCAGCAGTGGCAGGTAATGCTGCTGGCAAGCTCTCTAACCCCCGGCCGGCACAGCTCAGCACATCGGCAGCACAGATGCAGTTACTGGGGCATTTGTGGGGAGCAAGAGGCAGAACGTCCTCCAAGTCTGAAGTGCCTGATCCAGCACCCAACGTGCACAGTAGTATGCCTGGCAGCAGCAGCCGGGCCATGGCAGTGACCACTAGGGAAGAGATGGGGGCAGCTCCGTGCAGGGCAGAGGCTTCAGGACTCACCTACTTCTGAACAGGCTTGCTGACTGTGGTTCCCTACGGCCCATGGCTTGAGAGGCACAACGCCGGCTCCACCTGCCCAGCCGGCTTCTCCGGCTCTTCTGGTCTGGGGTTGTAAGGTGCGGCCCCAGCCCTTCTTGCAGCTCCTCCAGCTTTTCTGACTGGATTCTAAGTACTCACTAGGAGAGGGCCGCTGCGGGGTGGGGACCCAAGTTCCCATTGGCTCCCGCTGTTAAGGGGCGGGGCAGCCACATTCCCTGGCACTTGAGGACCCAGCGTGGCCACCAGAGGGCCCCAGTGTCTCAGATCACTTGGCTGGAAGCCTGACTTCCCTATTGAGGAGCAAAAGGACGTAAGGGGAGATTTTCTTTTTGCAGCTAACATGCCCAAAGTGATTTTGAAGGATTCGTGTATAACGGGTTAGGCGGAGTCCTCACCTTTCTCCCTTTAGATTTAGTTATTTGTGAATATGTAGGTGCTCATGCAGAAGTCAGACAAGTGACGGGGGGGGGGGGGGTTCTCCTATTTTGTGGGTCCTGGGCATCTGATTTCACGTTGTGTTTAGCAGCAAGCACCCTTACCCTTCAACAGTACCTTTCTTCCCTTTAAACTCGTATGTAGGTCATATGGGATCTACAGGGACCCAGAACTTAGAGAGTTGGTCGGCACCAAGATGGAAGGAATGGAGGCACAACAACGAAGCCTCTGGGCTGTCACCATGCCCAGATATTTTCACACAGGCTCAAAGCTTTCCCACTACCTATGCACCCTTCCCTATCTAGGACAGAGCAAGCCACCTCTGTGCTCCTGGCTGATCCCTGCTTCCAGCTTCGTTCCATATGCTATCTCCTGGGGCAACCAGAGCCCCTAGCACCTGGCACTGCCTTGCCTGCCCCTGATCGGAAGCGCTTCTCTCTTCAGAGTTGTAAGTGGACCAGGGGTGGGTCAGGGAAGAGTAGCAGGACTTCCTGAGCTCAGGATCCTCAAGAATAGCAAATGCCCTGCCTGGGAGTACTCAAGAGGCACCGAGTTCTAGGGCTACACGGGACCTGATACCACCTACCACCTACCCCAGATATGGATTACATCAGTGCTGAGGAGCTGGCCCAGGTGGAACAGATGCTGGCACACCTGACCGCAGCCTCTGCCCAGGCAGCAGCTGCCTCCCTGGTGAGTGAGGCTGTAACGCACAGGCCCAGGCCCTTTTAATACCACCAGGACGGGTAGAGGTGTCCAGCCCCCACCCACGCGGACTCACTCTCCATCCTCTAGCCCACCAGTGAAGAGGACCTCTGCCCAATCTGCTATGCCCACCCCATCTCTGCCGTGTTCCAGCCTTGTGGCCACAAATCCTGCAAGTAAGTGCATCCCGTGGACTTGGGGAGGCGAATAAGGACACACGGGGTAGCTCTCACTCCCCTCCCCTCTTGTAGAGCCTGCATCAACCAGCACCTGATGAACAACAAGGACTGCTTCTTCTGCAAAGCCACCATTGTATCTGTCGAGGACTGGGACAAGGCAGCCAATACAAGTGCCACCTCCTCAGCTGCCTAGGCCAGCCTGATGCACACAGCTTCCGCCATCCCGGAAGCTCCCCCATGAGACCCAGACTGAGCCCTATTTATGAGCTCCTTTGGCGCTATCTCCCCATCACCCCCACTCTTAGCACTTCCATCCATCTGCCTGTGTATAGGCTCATTGGTGGGAGCCCAGCCATGGCCCTAATTATGCCTGAGCTTGACTTTCAGTCCAAGCTACAGTGAGCATTAAATTATTATTCCATAGAGCCCTGGCCCAGCTCTTCTTGAGGGAGTGGGAGCTTGTGGGTTACGCTTGGCAGGATCCTGTCAGTTTCTGTCCCCACCAGAAGGCAGATGTCCAACAGCTTCAGCTGCGTCCATTCCACCCTAGACCAATGGCACCAAGTCCAGGGTCTTCTGAAGTGCTGCCGATGGTGAGGCGACGAGGGGGCAGCTGGGCCAGCCCTACGTGTCTCTCACATGATAATACGAGGCTCTGGCACCGACTCCCCAATAGACTTGTGGGGCAGCACGCTGGCTCCATTGAGATAAAGTTCATCACTGACTATGACGTCCTCGCCCAGCACTGTTACATTCTCCATGCGCACCTGGGGGTGGGGGAAGCCTTGTTAATGAGGCACACATATTCCCTGTCCCTGCCCCCCTCCCCAGTCCAGTTCATGAACTTACCCACTGGCCCACACGGCAGCGCCAGCCCACGATGCACGACTCAAGCCAGGAGTGGGAGTGGATGTGCGCATCCCGAAGCACTGTGCAGCGCCGGATGCACACGCCATCCTCCACCAGCACACCAGGGCCCAGGCTTACATTGGGGCCAATGCTGCAGTTCTGACCAATACGGGCGCTTGGGTCCTGAGAGTATTTGAGGAAAGGAAGAGTGGGTCATTTGTCTCCCAAATCTGAAAGGATTAGTGACAGGCTGGGCAAGGGCCTCACCACAAGTACATTCCCCACAATGCCAGGGCCTGAGTATAGTCTCTCTGGATGCTTCTGTCTCAGTGATTGCAGGAAGAGGCACATGCCAGTGAGGAAATCCTTGGGCTGCCCAATGTCCATCCAGAAGCCTGCAGAGAGAGATGGATCAGAGGGCTCTGCCTAACCACACGCTACCCCTCACCCTATGGACTCTGCCTCACCCTGCAGCTCCATGGCATATAGCTGCCCCTCCTTGGCCATAACTGGGAAGATCTCCTTCTCAATGGATGTAGGCTTCAGCTGTGGAAGTGGGCAACTCGTGAGCAGGCCACACAACAGAGGCCTGCCCCCCCCCAGCCCGCCCAGCAGTTCTCTCCTACACACCTGGATGCGCTGCAGCACAGCAGGGCTCAGGATGTACATGCCTGCGTTGATCTTATTGGACACAAAAACCTGCGGCTTCTCAACAAAACGGTGAATGCGGCCTGTGTCAGCCTCACACACCACCACACCGTACTTGGAAGGCTCCTCCACCTTGGTTACCTGAATATGGAGGTGGAGGGCACCTTAGGCCTAGTCCAGGGCTCTTTACCCCTGACGCACAACGCCGACCCCCATGTCTCAAAGGCTCCTGCCCCAAAGGCATTCTGCACAACTTTGCACCCTAACAAGGAGAGTTTAACACCGGGGGTCCAGAGAGACTGTGTATGAGGGTGGGGCTGTCAGAGAAGGAAGCCTTGGTCTCTTACCAAGATGGTGCCCTCTTTGCCATGGTGTCGATGGAACTGCACCATGGCTTGGAAGGGGAAATCACAGATCACGTCACTGTTGAGAACGAAGAAAGGGTCTGCAGTCTCAGAGAGTAGAGCGCGGGCCAATGCCAGAGGCCCAGCTAGGGAAGGGGACAAGTCCTATGTTACCACCTTGGTAGAGGCCTAGTTCCTTGAGTCCACACTCCAGAGGCCCCCACTCAGATTGGCTAATATCCCTTTACTGACCCTAAACTTTGCCCAACGGCCTTCCATTTTTGCACTGACCTGTCCCCAAAGGCTCCTCTTCATGAGACATGGAGATTCGGATTCCAAGCTAGAAGGAAGAAGTCACCTGTTTATGTTCTTCCTCGAATAGTAAGGAGAGCCCCAGGGACCAAAATAAAGGGCCAAGTCTATGGCCTCACCCTTTGCTCCTGTGCCTTCATTTCCTTCTCCAACATCTGTGACATGTAGCTCACTGCCAGGATCACATGGTCCACACCTGCCTGTCAGACACAATGAGGTGTGCTAATGAACCAGCTTTGGTCACCCCTGACCTCCCAGTCACTATCCATCCCTCTTCCCGCCACAGCAGACCCAGGGCCTTACCGCGGCAAGCGCCTCCACTTGATGCAGCAAGATGGGCTTATTGCAGAAGTCAACCAATGGCTTCGGAATGCTCAGCGTCAGCGGCCTTAACCGTGTCCCATACCCACCCACCAAGATCAGTGCCTTCATGGCGCCTGCAGGTGATAGGAGTGGGCTTCTGGCTCCAAAGTATTTACAGGCCGCCTGACCGACCCCTGCCACTAACTCCCGCCGCTGTGCCCTGCCTCGCACCCTTCACCAGCCAGACTGACCGACTCCGGTCTCACCTCGTCCGCCTGCTCTACCTTGACGTTCTCCGGGGCACCCAGACACTGGAGGAACTGGTTGGAGAGCAGCGGGCTCGGAGTTCCGGCCAGAGGAGGCGCAGCCAGTGATGTAACAGGGGAGAGCCAATCGGCTGTCACCTACGTGGCAGGGCCGCCCGAAGCCGAACGCCAGGCGTTACGCTACGGCAGACGTAGCCAATTAGATTCCCAATGCGCTGGGCTACCCTGGGGACCTGGAGAACTCGCGGGTCAGATGCCCATTGGAGGCTCTAAAGGCGGAACTGATAAGAAAAGCTTCGCTTCCTATCAAAACCAGGTCCGCCACGCCATCTGCCCCGCCCCGCCGGGCCGCCTCTCCCCCAATCCCGCTTCGGTCGCCTCGCCCTGACGACTCCGCCCCTCAGGAGGGGGGGGCTGTCCCGACCCCACCTCCCCCCACTTGGCCTGCCCGGCAGTGCTGGCTCAGAGGCCCATCTCCAACCCCTCCCTTGCCGCCCCCTCGGCTCCGGAACCGCCCCGCAGCACCTGTCCGGACCCAGTTCAGCCCATTCCCCCGGCTGAGACTCGGCACCTCCCTTAAGGGAAGACCAAGACCCGTGAGCCTAACTACCAGGGTCTGTCCAGCCCGAGGCTAGTAAGCTTTCACACAGACTTAAGACAGAAGTTCAGATTCTAGAGGCTTTATTTGGACATACACGACCTGACACAAGCGGGAGGGTAGCGCTGGGTGTACAGAAAAGGGCCGGCTTGAGCCAAGCACTCCTCTCCACCACACAGAAGACCAGGGGAAACGCAAGCGCGCCTAAACGCCAATGGCCAATGGTGCCACGTGTGTATCCTGGCGCAGGTCTTAGGGTGTGTTGGCGGGCGTGTAGCTTCCAGGAAAGAGGAACAGAGAACAATTTCCAGAATTCAAAGTCTAACATTTCCTCCACAAAAGCAAAGGAACTTTTCCCAGGTTCTCCTTTTTCCTCATTAAAATGTTTTTTTTTGTTTGTTTGTTTGTTTTTAATGGGCACACACACAACCAACTTACTTTAGTTGTAAAGTTCAAAGCAGTTTGCATCTAAGGGAACGTGCACGTGGCCAGATGTGAGCGAATGAGCAGCGGATACTGAACTAGCCCAGGCGCCTTGGCCCAGGAGAGAATCCCCACACCCACTGCACAAGCCCAAAGCTGGGAGGGGTGGGGTCCCAGGCAAGTAGTTGCTACACTGGTCCCTTTCCTTTTTAAGCACCACCTATCCCATTTCATTCCCACCCATCTCCCCGGGGCTGGTGTGGGCTTGGCCCAGGAAAATATAATACTATGATGAGGGGTGATCTGAGCTCCCCAACCCATGATCCCGAGTTGCACTTTGGTCCCAAATTGGGGCTGGGAAGGCAGGCCCTGTCAGGGACAGGTAGGAGAGCAATGGCAGGAAGTGTTTGCACACACTTGCCACCACTATTAGATAAACGAGCTGGGCCTCCAGGTATCAAAGTGCTGGAAAGTGGGGCCCTGCCCATGAGGAGCAGCAAATCCCAGCCTTTCCATACTGTAGTGGCAGAACTTCAAGCGCTGTGGGCACTGCCTCCCTTGCTACTTGAGAACCAGCAGGATGGGGCAGCACCCCGGCCCCCAGAAAATTCTAACTGGGGAAGTACAACACACTCCTAGGTCTCAACTGGCCCCAAATCCATCTCCTGACCTCTATCCTGCCAGAGATGCATCCACACTAATGAACACTTACTGCCCCCATGGCTGAAGCAACAGACTACTACTAGACAGAAGACAGTTGTTACTAACCAAAAATGGGCAAAGCTCTGCCTCCTGGCCCTAAGGAATGGGAACCTGCCCACCACTGGCACCAGGGTCAGAAGACTGGGATCCATCAAGGAGCCCTTTTCAGAGGCTGCATCTCTAAGAACCAGGCAATTGTGTCATCAGTTTAACAGTATCTCTCAAAGGCTGGCAGGATTATCTTCAAATGCCAAAACAGACATGTCAGAAGTGATGCCCACTGGCCAGAGACTTGGAGACTATTGCTCACCTTGGCAATGGCTGAGTGCAGTGTAACCTGTCAGACACCTATGTTACAGGCAACAAGTATCCACCATCAAAGGGGCTGGTAGCAAAAATAGAGCAATGGGTCAGGACCACCTCTTGAGTCTTCACTGCCCCACTGTTGGTACGGAAGGCCACCAGGACAGCAAGTAAACACCACTACGAGTCATTCTGCTATCAGGTTTGAAAAACAGCAGAACCTGCGGAGGAAGGGCGCAGGAGCAAAGGCTCACCTCAGCAAAGGGAAAGAATACTCTGCTGAGGAAGCATGAAGGAAATCAATATATACTAATTAACAAGGCTACACTCCAGAAATCTCACCACAAAACAGGGGCTAGCGGGTGGACAAACGGACTTACCGACAGACCCCAGGATTAATCAGACAAAGTTCTCAGCAGACTCCCATACCCAGGGCCCTAGGTCCCTAAAACCAGACAAGTTTAGAGTTCTCCCTCCAAGCCTAGAGCCTGGACCACCACGTAACGGGCTACTTGCTGCCTTGAGCTTGGCCTGGCCAAGACAAGACCCTGAGTGGACCACGGCCCCAGAGCCCTGGGAGGAGCAGCCCATCCACAGGCAGCACAGCTGCCCAAGCTAGAGGAAGGGACACCATCCAAGGCCCAGGAACTGCAAATACTGTGTGGGTCAGAGCCACTACAGGCCCTTAGGCATCCCGGGACACTGCCTCTCCTCAGCAAACAGAGCTGTGCCAACCTCAGTGAGACAAGAGGGTATGTGGCCTCGTTAGGCAAGGGATCTCTGCAAGAGGCTAGATGGGGCTGTGGACAGAGGAGGAGGTTTGCATGCCAGTGGGTGCCTAGAGAGCCCAGGGCCCATCCTCTGCTGTGAGTTGGCCTTAGCTCAGCTTCACAAACCTAGCCCCATGCCAAAATCAGAGCCAAGGATGAGTCCATGTGTGCAGTGAGCCCTGTAATGCCCTGAGGCATCTATTCAAGCACTGGCACACAGCTACAAAGGCCCTCAAGATGTGGGCACTTAATGCTCCCAATTCTGGGAAATAAGGGATGAGTAGGCATGGAGAGACCCTGTGCCAGCCAAGGGCTTCACCTCTCAATCAGCAGAACCCTACAGCCACAGAGCCCAAAACCTTAGGCAAGGGAAACCAAAGTTCAAAGGCATTCTTTCTCTGCTGCCAAGCCCACTGGGGCCACCTCTTCCTTCCTGAGTCAGCCTGGACACAGCAGTCAAAGCCACAAAGCTAAGGAGCCTGGCTGAGAGGACGTATGTTCTGTCCTCCTTTACTTTATATATATGGATTCCAGGCTACAGCTAAAAACATTTCTTTTAGTTTACACCAAAGAGAAATATAACCCTTTAAAAGCAAGTCTGTGTGTCCTCACAGCAAGTTCAGAGCAATGGTCCCTGCCTGTGGGTGGAGAGGAAGGGGTCGTCCTAGGGCCCAGAACTGGGCCTACTGGTTCTCGTCCCGCATCTGCTCCATGATGCTGATAAGATTCTCCAAGCCAAACACATAGCCTCTGTCCGGCCCATCGTGAACAGTGGGGTCATCCCGGAAGCCCTTGAATGTGCTGTGTGCAAAGTCAATCATGCGGACATCCACCTTGGGCGGAGAAGAGGGGCCAGCCTCAAGGTTGGTGTTGCTAGGGCTGGTGCTGGGGCCACAGGATGGTGGCACCTCAGGGAGCCCCATGTCCACGTGCTTGAGACGTAGCTCAGACCGGCACTCCTTGCCATCATAGATGACAAGCAGAGAACTGGAGTAGAAGCGGTAGGAGGCCTGCCGCTCCAGCACAGCTTTGAGGCCCCGCAGTTTGCTCAGGATAGGCTCAAAGAGGTCACGTCGCAGGTCCAAGCCATTGTGCAGGTATTGATACAGAGCATTGCGGAAGCCTTCGATGGAGAGTCCACGACCATAGTACTTGTTCCTGCAGAGGTAATGACCTGTGTCCAGCTGGTAGACCTGAAACCCCAGGAGACAAGACAAGGTTGAGAACCAGGAAGGCCTGATGGCCACGAAGTGGCCCAACCAAAAAAACCCCAACCAACCAACCAACCAACCAAACAAACCAACCGACCAACCAACCATTCTGGAAGGCACTCTGACCAACCTGAGCTCTTCAGCTCCTCCTACTGGAGCAGGGAGGCCATTCACCCCAGGTTTTCCCGTCATGGAGCTGTGAAAGCCAACACCAGGCCTATTGCCATCACTTTAGAATCTGCCTCCAAGCTGTCCCAGGGTCCAGCTAGACTCTAACTGGGAACACACTGCTGACAGACAAGACTTACTTGCCCCGTAACAGGGGAACAGGCTCTCTCAATGACCCTGCGCATGGAGCCCTGCCAGAGTCAAGTGCAGAAAGCAGGGCTCCGTGGCCCCGCTGTACACACGCTCAGCACCCTGTGGGCGACTCACCTTCTCAGAGGAGATTCTGGACCAGCGCAGACCAGGAGGACACAGGTGTCAGGCAGGCTGGACAGAACCTAAAACATGCCCTCGGCAGCACCTGGGCTCCCACGACTGGTGACTCACCTGCATGCCACAGACCCTGACCCCTAGTGTAGCAGAAGTGCTCTGCTCACACTTCCTCATCTGCCGGGCCGCCTTCTCGGCAGAGGCGTCATCCCCATGCTGCCGGGTGCCCATCTTCAAGTCCAGCACGCAGGGGTACTTGAAGTGGTGTACCACGTTCTCAAGCAGAAGGAACTCTGGGCCAGAGTCAAGGGTGACAACCATACTCACTCAGCTCCACTCAGAAAAGCACAAGCAAAATTGTCTATAAAAGTGCAATTCTCCACTTTAAACTGTATGTGCCTCACAAATTCTTAAATGACAGTTTCAAACTACTGGCTTTAACTTTTTGGTAGAACGTACATCGTGTAAACTCTTAAGAGCCAGGAGTTGGTGGCACACAACCTTTAATTCTAGCACTCACACTCACAAGACAGAGGCAGGTGGATCTCTGTGAGTCTGAAACCAGACTGTTCCACAGAGTGAGTTACAAGCTAGCCCAGGACTACACATTTAGAACCTATCTCCAAATATATATATATATATTATTTCCGTGAGTTCGAGGTCAGCTTTGGCTAGAATGAGCCTGCCTCAAGAAAATAAGCAAAAGAAACTGCCATTTTACCACTGTAATCATGCCAGTCACAGGCATAGCATATCTACACCTCAGTGCAGCCAACACCATCGCCACCTCCCTAAGCTGAGCCTCTACCCACTCAACACTCAGTTCCTAGCTGCCCTTTCTACTCTTCAGGAAACCTCTACGTTCTGTGTCTAGGAATTTGTCTATTGGTGGCAGCTCATTTTACTGGAATCTTCCAGCTTTAATCTTTGTATGCCAGGTTTAGTAAAATGCTTTCAAGATCCATTCCTATCATAAAACATACCATAATTTCATTCCTAGGGGCTGGAGAGATGCCTGAGTAGTTTAGAGCAATTGTTGCTTTTGCAGAGGACATGGGTTCAATTCCCAGCACCAATGTAGTGGCTCACAACTATCTCTAACTCTAGTTCCAGAGGATCTGACCCCCTCTTCTGGCCTCCATAGGCACCTGGCATGCACAATGGTACACATACATACCTACAGGCAAAACATTCATACACATAAAATTAAATTTAAAGGAGGGGGTGTTGGAGAGATGGCTCAGAGGTTAAGAACACTGGCTGCTGTTCCACAGGTCCCGAGTTCAACTCCTAGCAATCACATGGCAGCTCACAACCATCTATACTGGGATCTAGTGCCCTCTTCTGGTGTGCATGAACACAAAGCACTCATATACATAAAACAAGAAAAAAAAAAAAGACAAGACAAAACAACAACAAAAGAATTTCAGCTAGGCATGGTGATGCACAGCTTTGATCCCAGTACTTGGGAGGCAGAGCTCTGTGAATCTGAGGCCAGTGAGGTCTACACAGTGACTTCCAGGACAACCATGTAGAGAAGGCTATGTAGAGAGACCCTGTTTTTAAAAAAATGACTTCCAGGTATGGTCTATGTATATAATTTTCCATACTAAGCATTCAAGATGCGCACTGATCTGTATTTTTAAATACAGGTGTGTGTTATGCTGTGTGTGTGGTGTGCACACTTGATGGAGGTGGCGGAGGGCAGAGAGCAACATCAGGTATCGTCCCTTAATTGCTCTGTCTTTAGTGTTTGAGACAGGATTTCTCACAGAATGTGAAACTCTCTGGTCCACCTAAGCTGGCTAGCCAGTGAGCTTCAGGGATCAGTCCATCCTTGTCTGTACACTCTCAGTACTGTGAGTATAGGCACAGCCTGGCTCTTTTGAGTTCTGCAGAGCTGAACTCGGGTCTCTCCAGTCTTTATTTGGACAGTCTTGTGATCCCAGGTTAGCCTTAAACAGCCTGGAGAACACAAGGATACTTTGAACTTCTGGATCTCCTGTCTCCAGCTACAGAGAGCAGAGACAACAGCACTCTACTTAAATTTAGCATTTAGAAAATAATTTATCAATTCATTATTTATGCAAAGCATTCTGCCTGCATGTGTGCCTATACACAAGAAGAGGGCAACAGATCTCTCGATAGATGGTTGTGAGCCACCATGTGGTTGCTAGGAATCGAACTCAGGACCTCTTAACCTCCGAGCCATCTCTCCAGTCAAAATTCAGCGGTTTTTGTTTTTAATAAAAGGAGGAAGGACACAGGTCCATTAAGTGAGGGATAAGGGGTGTGAGCATAAACATTATACACACACGAAACTGTTAGGCATTAAGAATCATTTTAAGGTCAGGCAGTGTTGGCACATGCCTTTAATCCTAGCACTAGGGAGGCAGAGGCAGGTAGATCTCTTTAAGGCCAGCTTTTTCTACAGAGTGAGTTCTAGGACGGCCAGGGCTATACAAAGAAACCCTGTCTCAAAAAAGACCAACCCAAAACAAAAATATCATTAAAAAAAGGTGACAATTAGGTCAGAGAAAGGTCACATTACATGACACGGTGGTTGCACGCCTGAACTTGCAACAACGTGCAACTGTGCAAGGCCAGTTCCATTAACAAACACCATGCATGCCATGGAAGGGGCTCAGAGGGCCCACCCCTTCCTGAGGAGTCATACTTAGTCAATGGATGAGAGAGGAGGGAGAGATTTTCCCCCCAGTGGTGTAAGGTATATATGTTCCTGTAAATGACTCTGTGAAACTTCCTGGGACACACAAAGGGAAGCATACATGAGGCCAGTCGGGATGATGAGAAGTAGTGTAAGGGACACCAGAGAGTGTAACAGCTGAATATGATCAAAATACATTATGTACACACATTTTAAAAATTTCATAATAAAACCTACTATTATGTCCAATGTATGCTAATAAAAAACAATGAAAAATACCTATCTTGAGACTAAGGATAGTTCAATGGTAGAGCAAATGCTTGGGCATGAACAAGGACCCAGAGGCAGTCCTCAGACTAAAACCACAGTAAGAATAAGACTGTCCTGCCATTCCCCACACAATTCCCACCAGTAGACAAGGATACTGTAGAGTTTTCGGTCCTTCGACTCAGAGCGCATGCGGCTGAGCTGCTGCTTGTGGCAGCGCAGGCTCCAGGGGTTGTAGCTGATCTTCTCAGAGCTCAGGCCACTATTGCTGTCTAGCATCTGGAAAGGGACGTCTGAGTGGCAGTGCAGCTCCACCTTTGGACTCTTTGCTTCCTGGGGGCTAAGAAGGAAGAACACACACACCACTAAGAGGTCAGAGATGTCATCTCTAGAAACGCAGAGAAGAGAAGGGTTAGAATAAGCCTGGCCTGTCACCCAGAACCTGCTTACAGGTGGCACTGGCCCAGATAAAAGTGAGGGAGCAGAATGAGTGCTATCCTCTTTGGGCCTCTGAACACTTCCCGAAAAATCATCATGTCCAGTTACAGTATATAGTAACACTTCCCCCTTGGTTAGTCTCAAAGGAAAAATCTGGGCCCTCGCCAAGATGGGCCAGTGGGAAAGGCACTGCTGCACTAACCTGACAACCTGAGTTGGATCCCAGAATCCATATGGTAGAAAGAAAGAACTAACTCCACAAACTTGTCCTCTGACTTCTACACATAAGGGACTTCTATACATAATCTAAGGGAAATGCACCCCACCCCTACAAACCCAACAATAAATAGTACTTAATTTAAACAGTTAGAAAAAAGTCCAGGTGTGGTAGTACAGGTCTCCCACTTTTTTTTTTTTTTTCCTTCAAGACAGGATGTCTCTGTGTAGCCTTGGTTGTCCTGGACTCACTCTGTAGATCCGCCTGCCTCTGCCTCCCTGAGTGCTGGGACTACAAACATGTGCTGCCACGCCTGGCTGTGGTGGTAGAACACCTTTGGTCTCAGCACTCAGGAGGCAGAGGCAGGTGGATTTCTGTGAGTTCAAGGGCTACATACATCCTGTCTGAAAAATAAATAAAGACCCCAAGAAAACAACAACAAAAACCAAAAAAGGGAGAGAGAGAGAGAGAGAGAGAGAGAGAGAGAGAGAGAGAAAAGAAGGTGTAGAGAGATGGTTTGGTGATTAAGATTACCTACATCTTTTGCCAAAGGACTGGAGTTTGGTTCCTAGCACCATGAAAGTACGCATGACTGCTTATACTGCTCTGGGTCCTTCAAAGGCATCTCAACTCAGGCACACAATTGAACAACTGGATTCTCTGACTTTCTGTTGGCAAACAGCTATTGTTGGACTAGCCGGACTACATCTGGTAAGCCACTCTAATGAATCACCTTTATTTTATATACATATTCATTCTATCAGTCCTGTTATTCTAGGGAACCCTGACTATTACACAGGGAATCCCCAGAGCAAGCTGAGTATAGAGACTGGCCATACTGGTGAAACTGGTGGGCTCTGCATTTGACTGACAGACACTGCCTTAATGAGTAAGGTAGAAGAGTGACTGAGGATGATCTCTGGGGGCTGGAGAGATGGCTCACAGGTTAAGAGCACTGGCTGTTTTCCCAAAAGTTCTGAGTTCAATTAATAGCACCCACATGGTGCTAACAACCATCTATAATGAGCTCAGGTGCCCTCTTCTGGCATGCAGGTGTACATGCAGGCAGAGTACTGTATACATAAATAATAAATAAATCTTAAGAGAAAAAAAAAAGAGATTGATTTCTGATGTCACTGCCTGGCCTCCATGGGCATGTGCACCCACATGCATGCACACAATGGGGGAAGGGAGCCTGCAAAAAATTTTTCAGAGTTAAAGAGGATTCCCTGACTGCAACTTCACGTCTAGGTATATACTCTAAAGAACTGCTAAAAGGGGCCGAAGGCTGCAGTTTAGTAAGAAGGTGCTTGCTTACCATGCATGAGGTCCTGAGCTCAAGTGGGCTTGGTGGTGCACACCTGTAATCCTGACAGGAGATAGAGGCAGAAGAATCAGAGGCTCAAGGCTATACTGTGAGGTCCAGATAAGTCTCGCAACACAATTTTTCACACTCACAAGTCCACAAAACTTCCCTGCCAGTGAAGCCATACACCCTAGGGATTGTAGAGCAAGTCTGTGGTACACAACAGAGGCAGAGCACCATCGAAATTTTAAATGTTACCTTCCTTTCCAAAAATGCTAGCCTTTTCTCCAATTGTGAAATAGCACACCGCACCCAGCAGGTTTAGTGTGTGCTGGAAATGGTGGCTCTCCTCTGAGCACCAAGTACCTCTGACATTTTTGTTAAAAGGCCCTGGGCGAAGACCTCACTTCTGAACTAAACTACAGAAATCCAACAATGCCTGGCACCCCTCCCCCACTTCTGAAAAGCAGATGAAGGTCCACTTTAGGAAAACACTTGTCAAGTAAACCCAAGCAAGTTCCAGGTCTGGATGAGCCCCTGTAGTACTCGGTATTACTAGTCCTCTGCAGTTACAGTCTTGGCCCTGGTAAGTAATCTTCACCTTTGGTATGACTCAGAATCTCTGCTGCAAGGCCAGACAGAAGTACAGTCATTGTAGAAAGAGCTGGCACCTTCATAAAACACTCTGATGTAAAATCTATACTCACTGGCTTTTCACAAATGCTTCACAAAGCAAATGTTGTCACTTTGGAGAACAAAACAACTCCTACTCTAAAAACTGCTATAAGAAAAGCCTCAGTTACTAGCTACTGACTAGAATATTTTGTCACTCAAATGCTCATGTTAGGCTTCACAGTTGTCATTCAAGAGGAAGCCCCTTGTAGATGATGGAGATGAAGTAAAGGAAGTGCTCCTGCAGGCAAGAGCCCTCAAAAATACCCAAGATCAAGACACATCTTAACTAAGGTGTAGGTGTGCAGCTCCAAGATGCAGACTTAGCCCAAAGGATGGGAGAAACACGGTCACAAACACACAAGGTTTTCACAGTAACATGAACAGAACCACTTAAAGCCTAAATACAGAGAGTGGATTGGGCCCTGAACAAAGCTCTGGAAGCTCACGTGGGCAGCATGGAGTGAAGTGACCTGATGCCAGAGATAAGCTCAGCTGATACATGTTTAGCATGCATGAAGCTGCTCCTCAGCACTACATAAACTAGGCATGGCCGTAAACACCTGTAATCCCAGCACGCAGGAGGCGAGTCCAGGAGCAACGAAAATTCAAGGTTCTGTAACTTTGCAACCCTCCCCAAGCAATATAGAAAGTTCCAATTTCTCAGTGTGTATGTATATCTATCTATCTATCTTTAGAGAGAGTTTTCAACAAGGGATGGCTGTTGCTTATGGGCCACTCCCACAGGAATGTCCTCCCTTATATGTTTATCACAACCTGATGAATAAATAAAACAAAAGATAGTATGTCCATATGATGGAATGTTCAGTCATAGAAAGGAACACAGGGCTGGGCACGATGGCATATTCCTGTAATACCAGCATTCGAGACGCAGAGATGGGAGATGACTGTACATTCCAGCCTAGCATGGTCTACAAGTAAATTCTATGACAGCCAGACTACATAGTGAGATCTTGTCTCACAAACCACAAAACAGTACCAACAACATGCTAATACACAAACATGCTCTTTTTTGGCTTTTCAAGATAGGGTTTCTCTGTGTAGCCCTGACTCACCTGGAACTTTCCATGTAAACCAGGCTGGCCTCAAAATGACAGAAATCTGCCTTCAAAGTGCTGGAATTAAAAGCATGTATCACCACATCAGCCAACTTGTTTTGTTGTTTTTCTAGACTAAATTTCTCTGTGTAGTCCTGGCTATCCTGGAACTCACTTTGTAGGCTGTCCTGGAACTCAGAGATCTGCTTGCCTCTGCCTCCCAAATGCTGGGATTAAAGGCATGCACCACCAGACCTGGTCCAATATTTTTTATTTTTAAATATGTGCCTGTGTATGCCATGTATGTGGAGGTGCCTGTTGCTGGGGTGATCTTTTTGTGCACTGTGTAAAGATTGTCTTTGCATATTCATATGCTGTTTTCTGTAGCAGCAGAGATCCAAGTACAGGCCAGACTTTGGTATTGTTATTCTTTGGATGTATCATATTTTGTAAGCACTCCCTTCAACACCTTCCAATTGGTTTAATAAAGAGTGGAACGGCCAATAGCAAAGACAGGAAAGGAAGGCAGGGCATCCAGGCAGAGACAGGAACTCTGGGAAAGAGTCAGGCACATGAAGGAGTCACCAGCCAGACATGAAGGAAGAAACAAGTGCTGGAACTAAGACTGAGAGATAATGGCCACATGGCAGAAATTAGATTAATATAAAAGCATTAATTTAAGATAAAAGCTAGTTGAGAACAAACCGAAGCTATGGCCAAGCTTTAATAATAAATATAAAAAGTTTCTGTGTCATTATTTGGGAGCTGGCACCCCAAAGAAAGTCCCATTTTAGCCTGCAGAGACCAGAAGAAAACACTGAGTGCCCTGGAGCTTTTGTGAGCTGTGTGATATGGGTGCTGGGAAGTGATCCTGGGTCTTCTGGAAGTGCAGGAAGCACTCATATTAAATTAATATCTAATTCTGCCACATGGCCCATTAACTCTCAGTCTTAGTCCCAGCACTTGTTTGTTTCTTCATGTCTGGCTGGTGACTCCATCCTTTCCCCAACCCCCACTAAGGTCTCACTATGTAGTCCAAACTATTCTGGAACTTGTTATGTAGCACAGGCTGTGTTCAGTCATGCAAGATCTTCCTGCCTCAGCTTTCTGAGTGCTGGGATTACAAGCATACACCATCATACTTCAATTGTCAACACTTTATTGTCTATCCTTTGGATTATAGTCACTCTAGTAGAAGCTACTTAGTGTCTACATGGAATGTCAAGAGATATAATTCTGTGAAAAATCAATGTCCAGTGTAAATATAGCAGCAGAGAAGGATAATGATATCAGACTCTCAGAGTATGAACAAAAGCCACTAAGGTACCCTTGTCTGTATGATTATCACCACTCTCATGCTCAGACATCCTACAGGTAAGAAAGTAGCTCATCAGTGCAACTCAACCATACTTTCTTTTAAGTCTTATACTTAAATAACCTACTGCCACAATAACAGGGCATCCCTGACAGAGCTTTACTCTCTCTTAACTGGGTTTAGCCACACCCAGAAGGCAACATCCTGAGGTGGTGGAAGACACAAGGGAGGTCCTATCTGTAGGAGTAGCCCATGAACACCAGCCTCCCCACCTCACCCCTACTCCACTGTTGAGAATCATTCTCTCATGTGTCAGAACTCCAACACTGTCCCGAGTGTTTGTATCATAAGGATTCAGCATGTGCCAGCAGCCCCGACCAATATCCTCTTACCTCTCCGAGGTCTCAAAGGACAGGCTGGCTTTCTCCTCCTTGTGGTCACTACCACTGCCTGACCGATGCAGGCTCCGGCGGGAGTGTTTGCGCCGAGGTTGCTCCCGTTCTGGTGTGTCATCTTGCTCTACAGTCTCACTCTCCACATAAGGGTAGGCTACCAAGTTGATGTAACCATCACTGTCTCCCTCAAAACAGACAGAAACCACGCCTGTTGGAGAAAAGGCAGCTGATTAACAAATGCCAACCCTGGTGGGCTGTGTGTCTGCCCCTGCTTTCCCACAGGGCATGGACACCAACTGTCCTGCCCAACTGTGAATCCTAGGAATAATAGCCAGCAGATATCCATTTTCTTTACCCTCAATCTACTGCTAACTTTTGAATGAGGATAAATCTATAATTATTTTCTACCCTTTTACTTCACCCTTCTGCTTTCAGCTATTGATTTCTGAACCACTCACAAAGAATCTTCTCTAGGTAACATCGACAACAGACAAAATTTAACACTCCAGGAGAAAAGGGAGACGGCTCAGCAGTCAAAAGCATTTGCTGTTCTCGTAGCATACCCAGGTTCAGTTCCCAGCACCCACAGAACACTCACAACCGTTTGTTAACTCCCATTCCAGGGAATCTTATGTCCTCTTCTGGCTCCATAGACACCAGGAAAATGCATGTGGTACTACTCAGACACACACCAATACTTACACACATAAAAACAAAAATAAAATCCTTTTCAAAAGATACGTTATGAAAAAAACTAACCCTCTATTTACTCAGCTGCTTTACGATGACCCCACTTCTTGTCAGTGACATTCTCAGATCTGTTTTTCTTCCGCCTGACAGTGTCACCTGAAGAAACAAACTGTCTCCAGGCCAGTGCCCTAGGAAATATTTTCTTCCACACTGAGTGCAGTACTCTCTGGCTCCCATACAGACTTCCACCCTGGGATCTCTACAATGAAATGTCTTCCTGTATTTCTGTACTACATCCCATGGAGTATTCTCTCCTTTTTCTGTAAGATAGGGTCTTGGGTAGCCCTGGCTAGCCTTAAACTCACTATGAAGTGGATGATGATCTTAAACTGATCTCACCTCTACCTCCCAAGTACTAGAGTTACAGGTGTGTGTGACCATATCTGTTGTGTCTATTTTTCATTTTTAATTTATGTATGTGGCTGGTACTTTTTAAAAGTCTTACTATGTAACCCTGGCTTCTTCCAAATCACAGATCACCAAGATCCACCTGCTTCTGCCTCAAAAGTGCAAAGATTAAAAGGCATGCCACCACTCCCAGCTTCTATTTTACTTTACACACACACACACACACACACACACACACACACACACACACACACAC